TAATAAATTATTAAGTTATAAATTTGATATTATGAATAGTAAAAATGTCTAAAAACGTTCAGAAAAATGGAATACGTCTGGAAAATGTCCGGAAAACAGGTTTATATCCGGAAATTATCCAAAAAATGTTCGGAAAATGTCCAATTTTGCATTCTAAAGAAATTGAACATTGAAATTCCAGACAATGACATTTTCCGGACAAAATGAATGTCCAGAAACTACCAAGATTTGGAACATATTCCGGACAATGGAAATGTTCAGAATTTGTACATTATTATTTCAATACATTTACCTGTTAAATTCCGGACATTCTTTTTTTATAGGGTTGTTGCAATTGAATTTCTTGGGTGGAATTTTTTTCAATGCATTTCTTTTTGCTCTTATTTTTTTAATCCATCCGAGTAATTCTTCTTTAGCACTTTTATTTGTGGATAATTGAAGTTTAGATTGTTTCATTGATATTGTCACGTTGGGATGCATTTTTAGGTCTAATTTATTAAAAAGGCCTTCTACTTGCTGTTGGCGAATAATAATAAAATAAATCCGAGTCTTAACGAAATTATATAAATCTGAAAAATCATTTATAAATGAATTATCTTCTGTACAGAATTTGTTCGAATTCTCTAAGAAATTGCTATTTGTAATAGCAACTCATGCAATCCAAAGTCATCAGTTATTCCATTTTTTAGATCATCTTCTAATTCTTTTGCAAACCGCAATTCTAAGTCCATTGGTGGCTTAATCCAAGGTTTTTTAAAACCAGATCTAGCATTATTTCCACCAAGGTGACAAACAAACAATGTTAAATGAAGCCAAGGTAATAGCGGCATTTTCCCACTAAAATATCCGAAAATCTTAAAATTTAGTAACTTGCGTAATATTAGCTTTGAAGTAATGTTAAAGAATTAAAAATACCGTGTTTTTCGAAAATTCTTTATAAAAAAAAAATTTCCTACACAGTTATGCTAAAAAGTATTAATTTATTATTGTAGAGATGCGATATATTTTTTTTTAAATAAAAAGCGAGCTATTTCATAAAAGAGACAATTGTTTGGAACACTTTTGGAGAAGTTGAAATGGGAATTTTAAGAAAGATTCAAAGTTATTAAAGAATAAAAAATACATCTATTTAGTAAGAGACTATAAGATAAATTTTAAATTATAGTAACTATAGCTTAATACTATCTTAATGCGGCGGAAAAAAAATTCAATAATAAACTTTTATATGATACCATATATAGTTTTGATTTAATTAGTTGATTGGCCACCCCAACGCGACACGTGATAACTATAGAATTTATTATGGCGCTTTATACATATTGTTTCCTCTTTTCTCTTCTCTAACTGTTTTTATACAATAAAAATTAATAATACAGATTCTTGTTTAGTGAGGAATATTTCTTGTAGAACTATTTGTCAATAGTGACTACAGTGATGATGAAGGAATTTGGCGTAACATTTTACCTTGAAGTCTGCTTTTGACTATATGAAAAAAT